TTTTTAATCCAATTGACTTTAAAAGTTCTATTAACATCTTCAAAATAAAGTATTTCCAGATCCCCTTCAGCTTTCTTATTAGTAAGAACCCTTTTCTTAAATCTTTGGGATTTGTTTTTCCAAATAAAAGAATAAAACAAATGATTGATATCTTTACAATAAGAATCTAACATACAGAGATAGGGAGGGATAAACAAATCGAGATAAGCCTTCTGCTTTAGATAATAGGACACGGCCATAAACAGAGAGACCACGTTGTAACCAACAGTTTAATAACGCTTCTGTCTTTTTTAATCTAGAGGAGAAATGTAAGTTTTGTCTTTCTGTAACATCCTTTGTTACAAGAATTCCTAGGTATTTGACAGAGGGTTTCACTGGAATATTATTAATAACTTTATCATTTAAATTGTGTAAAGGGAGGATTTCACATTTGGATAAATTTAGAGTTAAGCCAGAAGCCTTAGAGAAAATATTGATGAAGGAGATAGCATTGGGAATAAAAGATAAGCTCTTTAAAAATAAGGTTGTGTCATCCGCCAATTGTGATATTTTCATTACCAAAAATTTGGAGACCTTGAATGTGTTCATTATTAACAATCCCAATGGCTAATAATTCAACTACCAACAAAAATGAAAAAGGGGGAAATTGGACAACCTTGACGTACTCCACATGTGATATTTTCATTACCAAAAATTTGGAGACCTTGAATGTGTTCATTATTAACAATCCCAATGGTTAATAATTCAACTACCAACAAAAATGAAAAAGGGGGAAATTGGACAACCTTGACGTACTCCACGGTTAATGTTACATCTTTTAGAGGTGGAAGTGTTAAGTATTACAGAACTATTAATATTATTGTAAAACATTTTAACTACATTCAAAAATGTATTTCCGAATCCAAAAAGCGTTATAGTTTTAAATAAGAATTCATGTTCAATTGTATCGAACGCTTTATAAAAGTCCAGAAAGAAAATAACGGCTCCTTCATCAACATTCTCAGCATAATCCAAAAGGTCAAGCACAAGTCTAATATTCTTAGTTATGTGTCGACCTTTTAAAAAAACCTGATTGGTATTCACTAATACTTTTATTTAAACCTTCTCGTAATCTATTAGCAAATACTAAAGTAAATTAATTTATAATCAAAAAATTCTACTGTCAACCCATCTATACCTGGTGCTTTCCCTTTTTTAGATCAAATTTGGAATTATATAGTTCTTCATAAAAAGAGTAAACAAAGTCAGAAATTTGTTTTGGATCCATACAATGATTCCCATTAATGTTTAAAGCAAAGCATTTCTTTTAAAATTTATTTTCTCAAGTGCGAAAAAATAAAAAAAAATTTCACCCTCTTCAAGCCATTTCGCCCTAGAATGAATAAAAGCACCCTTAGCCAAGTCTAAATAGATCAAGTCTAGATGGGATTGAATTGTGACCAATTCAGCTTCTTCCTCCTTAGTAAGATTTTGCTTCTGTTCCAATATCCCTAATTTATCAATTAATTCTAACTCGTTTTGTCTATTGATTTTTTTTAATTCTTTACTACGTTTAACTGCAACCTTTACAAATAAGGACTTATTCAACGGATTGGAATTATGACCATAAATATTACAAAGTATAAATGTAGTATTGTCTAATTTCACAGTCAGAATAACCCATCTTCCGTTCTCGCACTTAACAAAGTTCAGAACGTCTCCTTTAAATCTGTTCATCACAACCATAACTCCTGGTGAATGCGAAGTGCCGTGACTGAAAAAAATAGATTTTCCCCACTGAGATTTCCAAAATGTTTCATCCAAGTCCGTAGAATGTGTCTCTTGACAGAAAATAATGTCAGCATCAGTCCGTTTTAAAAAAAGAAATAAAGCCTTTCGCTTCGTAATTTCTTGAAGGCCCCTTACATTCAGTGATGCTATGCTCAAAGAATTAAACTTAAAGTCCATTCCGAAAAAGAACTAGAATCTGAACAACAACAAAAAATAATAAAATTGTTTCATTCACAAATTACCAAGCTTCAAGACCTGATGTCTTGAAGCTGAAATTTACTAGGTTAAATTTGAGAACCCGGAGATGCAGCAGGCAGTAAACATTTAGTGAAAAACAAAGCAAAAAAAATGGCCGATATGTTAAGAAAAGGTGAAGATGCCTCTTATGGTTTTTCAATCGGAATTCAATCAGTCATTAGTGTCGATCCTTTTCCCCTCGATGTATGCATATGGACCACGAAATACAGCCTTTTTACCTTCCTCTCTAGCCTTTTTCACCCTCGGCCACAGTTTCTCTCTTGCCGCTTTGTCTTCAGGCGACAGCAACCCAGAGATGCGTAAAGCGTTGTCCAGTAAAAATCTGGAGTTTTTGGCTGCCCTCCAAATCTCATCACGGTAACAGCACTTCGAGAAGAGAATGACAATGGGTCGCTTAAGAATAGCATTTGGTGGTGTTGATTTACGACCAAGACGAT